GGATTTGTCGGGTCTTTTTTAGATGACAGGACAGGCATTGTGAATTCAAAACAAGATTATTGCTATGGTAGAGTATATCAATAGAACATTGAACTATATAAAAAAGAAGTAAGTTGTCTGAAAGTAATTTGCATTCGCGCCTAAAAAGGCCTCGTATACAACACGAATATTTGGAATATCATTATTTCAAAGCTTACAAAAAATCTTCTTTTGGTATTTGTTACATAATTCACAATAATTATGAACTAGGTATATTGAATTCATGGCGTTATTCTTCGTAGCATTGTTAAAACACCCAGAGTTGTTACATTTTGATGTCATATACGTCGAGCCGTCAGGATTTCTATTTTCAATGGAACATATATGTTCTGCCACATTTTACATGATACTGAGAATGTGAACAATAACTGATGTTATTTTTTTTTTTATATTTGTGTCACCAAAATGCAAATAAACTGTTTAGTAATAAAATAAAAAAGCTGGTTTAGTGTTAGGTTTGTGTTTTTTGTGGATAGTTTGAAGTTCACGTTGCCACTACTAGCAGAACCAAACTACATATAAATGAAATAGTATGCCATTAGTTATGTGTAATCCCAGCAGGATAATCACTTTATTACGATTAACGTTTTACTAATGTTTTTCTTGTATTCAAACTAATGGCTGCATTAACAACAATAGAAGTCGTGTTAAATCAATGATTGTACTAAAAAGTGGTTTAACTATCAACACTGACCGGTCGTACTTAAAATATAACTTAAGTGAGCTATTGCTGACTGTAGAGCTGTGCAATGTTGATTGCAAATTATTATATAATAAAGACGTAATAAAAATTGGCATTGTAAACTCTCAAAGCTGAATCACGTTATTATACACTTACCAACGACGCCTACGAAAACCAAAGCGAAGGTGGAGTTCCTTTTTTTTTAATTTATTTTTTTATTTTATTTTTTCAAAGTATTTTTCACATTACAGTAACATATACATTTCATTATACATAATGAATCCCACTTTCACACATACTTTCATACTTATTTATATTGCTCTTTTTGTAAGTGGTATTTTATTTTATTGTAATGTTATATTAGAAAGGAAGGAAAATCAGAAAAGAGAAACAAGAAAACAAAGAAATAGAGGAAAATAAAGATAGGTAAATGGACAGAAAGAAAGACAGACAGACAGACAGACAGACGGAAAGATAGACAGACAAGAGGAGAAGTACCAGTATTAAACAAACCAATTTAAAGGAGAGAAGTCTGGTAATATATAGGTGTCAGTAGCTAAGTAATTAAGATAATACATTGAATGTTTAAATTTTGTCTCTTTTTTTTTCAAATAAATTAAAATTAGATCAAACATATAAACAATCGGCAAAATGTAGGTCTAGGAAATATCAATAAGCCTTTTCCATTTTTCTCACTCATTCTGGAAGTTAATGAGATATATTTCGTCTTTACTATTTGCAATATATTTTTGAATACTGTAATGTTCTTTAATTGAACTTTTAATTCCTTGTATAGATAAAGGCACTTTAAGACATCTTGCCTTGTATATATACTGTTTTATTATTAAAATAATACTATTGTCACTTTTATTAAGTCCATTATAGTTATAAAAACCAAAAAGAAATGTTTGTTTATTATAATCAAATGGAATAATCAATGCATCTAATAAGAACTCAAAATTTTGTAAAAGATTTTGTACTTTGTCACATTCCCATAATACATGCTCTATTGTCTCTATTTCTAGTTTACACAGTTCACAGTAAGGGCTATCTACTATTCCTGCCTTAAACAAATATGCATTAGTTGTCAAAATGTGCTGATTAATTCTGTACTGGAACCACTGTAATTTGGTATTTTTCGTAATTCTAAATGGCATTATATATATTTTTTTCCAAACTTCATCATCAAATTGAAATATATCATCCCATTTTTTTTTACCTGTTGAAATAGTATCATTTTTACAAAATAAGCTATAAAAATCTCTTATCCCCTTTTTGTTTTTCAAAAACATTTCTATATTAATTGGTAAAAATGGATAGTTAACCTCTACATTTGACATATCTTGTTGTATAATATACTCTCTAATGGCAGTAATTAGACCCTGGTATCGCAAAAAGTTTGTATTAATATCATAAATCTGTTTGAATTCTTGAAATGTGTAAAAAGCATAGGTATTTCTGTCTCTGATTAGATCATCAATTACAATTATTCCTTTATTGTACCATTCCCTGTAAAATATACTTCTATTTTCTATTGATTTTTTTTTTGTTATACCAGATGGGCATTTTGAACTTACTGCTAGGGGACTTATATTTTTCAATAATTTTTCTCCGTGCCCTAAATACATCAATCCAGAACAGATATTTAGTTTTATTTTGACATTTTGAAATATAATCAGTTCCACAATTTGCCAGAATGTTTTTATCACAATATAATTTTAAGATCACTTGCCATTTACCAGAATTCATATATAACCTCCTTACCACACGTTAATTTTAACGAGTCAATAAACGACTGTACATGTAACATTTTAAGACCCCCTTTTACATAATCTTTAACAATGACATCTCTCTTAGCTTTATCTATTTTACTATTCCACAGAAAATTAAAAAGCTCTATATTTAATTTTTTAAGAAAACAATCATCTGGATTTGGTAAAGAGATAAAAAGGTGGTTGAATTGTGAAATTAATAATGATTTTATGATATGTATCCTACCAATAGGAGTCAACAATCTTCTTTTCCAGGTTTTAATCAAAGTTTTGAGTTTTACAAATTTCTTATCGTAATTCAATTTTGTTATCCTATGTAAATCTACATCAAACTCAATACCTAAAAGTGTAAATTTCCTATCCCCCCACTGCAAATTCAATTCAGGATAAAGAATTTCATCACTGTATTTTTTACTACCTATCCAAATAACATGTGTCTTTTCTATGTTTATTTTGAGTCCAGAAATATTTGCAAAACTTTTCAATTCTTTAATTGCCTCTTTTAATGAAATTTGTGTGCCATCTAAAATCAATGTAGTGTCATCAGCATACTGGGAAAGTAAAAGCGGGCAATTGTCAATATTAATACCATTTATATGTTTATTATTTCTCAGTCTTACAGCTAAAATTTCAGCGCATAATATGAATATATATGGAGCTATTGGATCCCCTTGCCTGCAACCTCTTTTAATATCGAAAAAAGATGATAAATTTCCCCCTTGATTTATTGCAGACTTTGCGTTTGTATGAAAGACTTTTACCCATTTTTTTATGCCATTGCCAAATTTAAAATAATCAAGAACTTTTTCAATAAATTTCCAGGACACTGAGTCGAAAGCCTTTTCAAAATCTATAATTAACAACATTCCTGGTATATTATTTTCATCTGTATATTGCATGACATCATAAACTAACCTAGTATTCTCCCCAACATAACGACCCGAAATAAAACCTCTTTGATCTGTGTTTATTATACTATTTAAAACTGTTTTTATTCTCCCTGCTGTTGAACCCGATGCAGTTTTATATATAATATTCAGAAGAGAAATTGGTCGCCAATTTTTTAGAAACTGTCTTGGTTTATCCCCTTTAGGTATACATGTTATTATTCCCTGTCTTTGTGTAACTGACAATTGCCCATTAGGGTAACCAAAATTGATTGATCTCACTATAAAGTTATTCAGCTGTTTCCAGAAACATTTTAAAAATTCAACCGTAAAACCATCAGAACCAGGGCTTTTCCCATTTTTCATATTATTTAATGTATGTGATGCTTCTTTAAGAGTTATAATGCCCTCTAAACTATCAGATTCTATATTATTCAGTCTAGGAACATGAAAGTCATGTAAAAAGTTGTCTAAATTAACATCATCTATATTACCATCTTTGGTATATAAAGACTCATAAAATAATTTAACTTCTTTAAGTATCTCATTTTGATTAGTTATTATATAAGGTGGAGTTCATTGTCTGTCCGGAGTCTCTGAGATCTGGTGTTTAGCACGACTGACCTTTGTCCTTATATACTGATCCGTTACCTAGCATAACCATGTATCTTCATAATATAACAACTGCCAGCTAGCTGAGATCGTGGTAGAATGGCACGATCTGAGGGTTACCAACACAAACGTGACGCCTCTTCTATCAATTCGGACAACCTATATATATAATTAGCAGATTTTAGTTTCAATACAGTTTTGACGTGACCCCCGCCGTATCACACCCCACAACCCGTATCAGCCCTCTCCGTATCAGCCCGCAAAACCCGTTTCACACCCCTTTTGGAAATGTTTCGTTTTTCAAAAGAAAAATAGATCATAAGAAAGTAGATCTTTCCGTATTTTATGAGTAAGTATTTAATAAACAGAATAAAACATGTCTTTTTCCATAACACACCAAGACCAATATCAGGCCTCGGCCTTTCGGCCCTCGGGCTGATATTGGAGTCCCGGGTTGATACTGGATGGGATATGGAAAAAAGCATTATTATTCTCTATATATCATGCTTCACTGTCAAAGGTGAACGTTTCACACGCACACAGGGGATTGCACCTTTAACAGTTAGTAATAGATAGAGTAAGCCAAAACTGATTTACACTGCACCAGACAGCTGTTTCGTCCTTCTAGGACTCATCGCTGATGCTTGGGGCCAACAAGTTTGAAATCCAATTAGGTCTTAACCACTGTTGAAAGAGGAGGGAGGGGAAGGGGGGGGGGTGCATAATAACCTTTAAAATGACCCTTAAAACTCATAATTGTTTTTGTAAGATATGTGGAGATATACTTTTCCGTTAATGAGATGTAAGTCACTATTCACTACCGAGGACTGATGAAAACAAAATATATAATATATCCTTTAATGATAATGATAATAAGAATGTGTTTGTTTTGTCAAGGTGATAATGATAATAAGAATGTGTTTGTTTTGTCAAGGTGATAATGATAATAACAATGTGTTTGTTTTGTCAAGGTGATAATGATAATAACAATGTGTTTGTTTTGTCAAGGTGATTCCTCCATTGTCTTGATGAGTGAACTTCATGGCAGTAAGACAAGGTTAATTGATGACGAATCGCTCACCACTAGAGGAACACAATGCTATGGTGTACTGTCGAATCACGAGTGTATCTCACCGCCTGGTGAGAAGCAAGACTATTCGGCAATGTCGAACTCAGACATTCCTAACCAACAGCCGAAAGTCGCCGACAAAAACGATGACTATCACAAACTACCGAATTCATCCCCGAGTTGGAAGAGGACTTTGACATACAGAGTTATTTTAGTGTCCGTTTTGGTAGCCATTTTAGTCGCCGGAATTGTGATAAAACTGCACTTTGACCAGTTTGGGGACACTGATGAAAAACTGTGTAGTGACAACAATAGTATAAACTGTGTTCCTGGTGATCTTGACTTTCTTAATCTTGATGAGATCAAGAACGAACTGTTTGGTAAAAACCATCCTCAGACATTTGGTTGACGTGTTAATGGAAACAACAGAATATGAAGCCAGATACACGGTAACCGATTGTGGTCGAACATACACAACATCAATACCATGCATTGTGTCCCGGTCTGTATAAGAGAACACTACAAATATGGTGTCGTCGTGTTTTTTTTTATATTTAACCATCACAAGGACTTTGAAATGTTTTTCTGATTGTAAATATATATATACTTGAAACGAAGCAACGAAGTTTAGTTAGTTTCAAATTAAATAACCATAAACAAGACATGCTATACTCAAATATCAAAATGTATATTTAGAATAATAAAATTGTAATTTTCAGCGTCCATTGTAATGATCTGCTTTTACATTTTACACTGCCCTTTTTCCATATTCTGGTATTATGACTTACAATGGAGTCAGACTGTTGTAATCCTGGTGAAGGGAAGAATATTATGATTGCAGAATATCCTAATCAGTGAACGCATTCACTTCTCATGACCCGAAGTCTGAATCAAATTAACAAGGCACCACGGTGAACGTTAAAGCGATATCAAGGTGAATTATATCTTTAATGTTTCTTTTTCAAATACTGCATAAATATATGAAATGAGTCTCCTAATGGAAGGTGACGGTCGGATTGTGCTAATATGTAATAGGGAATCATAAAGTAATATGTTTACGTCATTCTGATAACGCATGAGCATGTTATCATTTCATTGTAAACTAAGTGGCTTTCAGTGGAAGTGTGGGCGAGTGAAAACTGATACTACGTCAGCTACTTGCCAACTGGTCGAGAGATATTTCCGGGATTATGTAGAGGAAGCATTATTGCAGATGGGAAGTACTAGTGGGGCGACACCTGAAGGGGTGTCACAGATGGAATGAAGTTTAGAGGGCAATAACTCTGTTTAAACACGGGTAAAACAGCTATTCAACATGACATTGAAGAAATTGTTTGAGTGTTTTAACAAATTTGACCCCTTTGAACCTTGAATAAAGGTCAAGGACGTTTCCTTTTCCACAATTTGTCTGGCATGATGCTGCCGTAAAGGCAAAGAAAACGAAATGGACGAAATTTACCATCGGACCATGTGAGCTAACAAGAGTAGCGTAGTACGGAATAATATACGCCCGTCGAATGCCATATAGTGTTATATATTAACTTGCATTAAAATAAGATTTACATCACCTTAAGAATGGCTAGCTAGCATGCTATAAATCTCACCTTTCATTACAAAGTCAATGTTCGATTTTCTTTAATTTTCTAACAGTTTGAGGAAAACAAGTAATCAAAAGATTAGTCTCCAACTCATTAACACAAATTGATATCATGAAGCCTACCAAGTTTCAAAGAAATCGGTCGAAAAATGTAGGAGTAGATCGCCGGACAAAAATCAAATACTGAAATAAACAAAGGGCCATAACTTTGGCAACAATTGTCAAATCAAAATTCTTTTCAGGGAAACACAACAACATGTCATGATAATAAAGCCTAACAAGTTTCAAAGAGATCGGTCCATAAATGTAGGAGGAGATTGCCGGACAAACAAAACTTTACGCCGGCCGGCCGGTCGGACGATGCCATACCATAATACTCCCGTCAAATTTGACCGGCGTATAAAAATTGGATCAGTGGACAGTTTCTTATGATCATTGCTACATATCTGTATTACCAGGGTAGGAACAGATGACTGTGATGTCATATACATGACATTTTGAAATTTTGGATGTTATGTCACTGTTTATCTATTTAAGAATCAGTGTCTGTTGCTAAAAAAAATATAAGCTGAAGTTTCGATAGGATTTCTGTTGTTCATTATCACTGTGTAGGACTGACACCGGATACAGATAATACCGAAGCGGGCATGGACGCTAGGCGCAGACAAGCCACGGGATGTTTTACAATAAACAATGATGTATGTGATGCAGATGATTTGTAAACTATTTCATGCGATTTGAAGATATTGGTAAACAAGGGGCCAAATGGACCTGCATCGCTCACCTGGTATTAATCTCACACTTGTAATCTTAAACGTGGACTAAAATACAGCTAGAGGCAGAATATCAGTGTTTGATTCATAAGAACATATTAAAAGATTTAGACATGACGCCTGTGACCTTGAATGTCGAACAGGGACATTAGGTTGAACAGATTTTATAGTCTTCATTCCCAGCATGCTTTCCCAAAATATCATTACCCTGGACCTTTTGGTTATACAGAACAAGTCATTTAAAGATTTAAATTAATATTGACCACTATGACCTTGAATATGGACGAAGGTAATTCATTTTAACAAACTTGGTAGCCCTTCATCCCAGCCTGTTAATTGCCAAATATCAACACCCTTGGCCTTTTGCTAATTGAGAAGTCGTTTAATGTTTTTTTTTAATTATTTGACCCCTGTGACCTTGAATGTCGAACAGGGACATTAGGTTGAACAGATTTTATAGTCTTCATTCCCAGCATGCTTTCCCAAAATATCATCACCCTGGACCTTTTGGTTATACAGAACAAGTCATTTAAAGATTTATATTAATATTGACCACTAGGACCTTGAATATGGACGAATGTAATCCATTTTAACAAACTTGGTAGCCCTTCATCCTAGCATGCTTCTTGCCAAATATCATAACTCAATGCCTTTTGGTTATTTAGAAGAAGTTGTATAACGGTTTCAAACATATTTGACCCCTGTGACCTTGAATATAAGTTAAGCTCATTAATTTGAACAAACTTGGTAGCACTTCATTCCAGCATGCTACTGGCCAAATATCATCACCCAGGGCGTTTTGGTTATTCAGAAGAAGTTGTTTTTAAGTTTTTAACATATTTGACCCCCATGACCTTGAAAATATATGAAGGTCATTTATTTTAACAAACTTTGTAGCCCTTCATCCCAGTTTGCTTCTGGCCAACTATCATCATCCTAGGCCTTGCGGTTATTAATAAGAGGTTGTTTAAAAGTAAAATATTGATGCCAGACGTCGGACGGAGGACGGACGCTGCACCATGACATAAGCTCACTTGGCCCTTTGGGCCAGGTGAGCTAAAAATGACTACAAAGTCCCGGTACAAAATCATTTACAAAGTAAGAAGATGAGATAACTATTAAAGTATGACATATACAATGATGAAACGGATGTTACCGACATCTGTAGATGATACCGGGATAAACATATAATGGTCATGTCTAAATGTAGTCATTACGATGTAATTGACTAAATGGTTCTTCGTCGGTGTACGGCGAATAGCTATACTATAACATAACAATGTTTAGAGCGAGCATTTGTCCTAGCTATGTTTTTATGTTGTTATACCATTGGAGTAACATACCATAACATAACACTTTTGAATGATGTCATCGTAAGGGAAGGGGTTAAGAATGGTAGCTGTAGCTTTAGCTGTGACATTGGCAATAGCAGTGGAGAGTTGGAACTTTAGCTGTGACCTTGGCAACAGCAATTGAGTGTTGGAACTTTAGCTATGACCTTGACAATAGCGGTGGAGAGTTGGACCTTAGGCAGAAGGTGACATACTCTTTCCCTGTCACAACGTTATTATACAAGGGAGAGAGGTTACACAAGAGATTGTAAGGGTGATGTAGAGAAAATCTGCACTGATACCTAGATTTGCAAAGAAATACACGATGGTTAAATTGATATATCCTCAATTTATTCACAGTTTTCTGTTAACAGTAGGTGGTAAAGGCAATACAGACGTCTGAAAGCGTTAAATATGTATACCTTTATAATTAACAGGCAATGAGAAAAGACTGTTTCATTCCTACTCAAGATTTCAAAGTCTATTCTAACTTTATTTTCATCAACTTTTAATAGGCACTTTTAAATTATGGTCTGAAACTGTTTTATAATTGGTACTTTAAAAAAATATTTTGCAACCCTAATATTTGGAGGGCTGAAAAACAGACACACATCTACCATTTTGGCCTAACCTTTTAATCTCTGACCTACCTGTATAAATGTATTGAGTGCATTGTTGTTTCTTGTAATCTGTGGTGTTATACAACTTAGGTACAATAAGGTGCATGCATTTTACACTATAGGAGATTTACAGTAATTAGGGAACGTTAGTTTTATTTAAGCTTTAACAAAATATATATCACATTTAGGCAAGGTGTTCAATTAAATACTGTATACTGCGAACTATTCGCCATACACCAGATATTTAAAACATTCCTATTCGCCGTACAATGTATTGCTATTCGCCGTACGCTTTACCAAAATTAGTTACACCAATATCTAAAGAAAGAAGCATAATATAGAGCGACTCCATGTATAATCATGACTATATAGCTATAAGAAATCATCATAGCATATTAATGTATATAATCTACTGGCAAATATCAAGTCAAGACAATATTTGCTGTTGCGAATGAAGATTTAGCGGTACTAGGCAGACTGTTTTTGTAAATAATTTGCAAGTACACCAAAACAATTACATGCCTCCTGTTTCAGATATGATTTACATCTATGCTTGACTGTCGTGCTTCTTTATTTGTCTCTACGTACACTACCAGAAAATACAAGAAATATCGAAAAATTAACGTGATTTTACTACCCCCAGCTTCCATGCACAGAAACGCAAAGTACTATATTCAACACAAAATGCAACTTTATTGAAGAAAACGTGGAATTATGGGACTTTTCATTTTCAAAATTACTTACCTTTGTTACTTGTTTGAGAGGAAAATTGATCAAAATATACCTTTCAGAGTTTCAGGGAATACAAGGTAACCTGACATGTCGTTTTGTTCATCGTATAATTTTATGTAAATTTTTTATTGAACTTAAAATTAAAAACCTTTCCATTTAATGTAGCAGACCACAGTATTTGGTTCGAGATTTCAATTTCGTCAGTCTGTAATCTACTCCAACAAAACCTCCAACACATGCGAAGTTTGCGAAAAAAATTAATGTTGAATATATGCTAAATAGTAACCGAGTATTTTGGTTAGCATGAAAGAGATGTTTAATGACATATTTTAGGAGAAAAAATCCTTTCTGTGAGGGTCAATTTTAAGGCTAAAAATAACAATTTTCTGCATATATTTTTTTTAATTTTGGTCCGTTATCGATGGTTTTTACAATTTAAGTCTTAAATACGAGAACTCCTTTTTACACAATTTTCACTTCTGTATTACAATTGCAATTGTGATGTACTAGTAGTTCATCATCGTCTCTGAATTCAATCAAAATTTATCAGATTTATTATCAGAATTGTAGAAATTAGATCGTCTCAGATGTCAACGCTTGTGATTAATGATCGATTATGTAAGATGAAGAAGTGAATATCAATATATATTACAGTTTATCAGGTTGAAAAGTTGCAAAAATAACTGCTTCATACGTTTTGACTAATTATACAACATGGGTAATGATAAAAATAATCCAATTTACCTCGACTGGAG